AGTACCCTCATATTATTCATGTAACCATCTGTGATTAACCACAGATCTTGGCAGCTAGAATGAAAAACTTCAGGACAGGGAAGATTTGGGCTAGCAGCTCTAACTCCAACTAGGGAATCCTCATCACACATCCTTGCTGTAGCTCCTACTTCCTGCTAACATGAACCACAGGAGGCAGTGGTGACGGCTCAGGTCACTGGGGTCCTGCCACTCCTGAAGGGAATCTAGACTGAATTCCTGGTTCCTATCTTCTGTCCCCCAGCCCCTGTAGGCATCTGGGAGGTGAATCAGCAAATGAGAACTCTGTCTCCTTGCCTCTCAAACAATTTAAAAAAATAATTCCAGGAATCAGAAACTTAAGAAATTCACACTCAATTTATATTACATTAACAAAATATCATATCTCACAAGAGACCCCTTAGAGAGATTAACGCCTATCACAGGAGCAAACAGATTTCTTTGTAACTTTGTACTTTTTCCTTAATGAATTACTTTCCTTAATGAATTACAACCTCAATTTTGACACCTTTTGAATGACTAGACAGATAACACAGCTCCATACACTAAAGATTTCTTATCTTTAATGCAAAGCTAAAAACTGTCAAATGAGTAAACTCTGACAGGAATCACTGCTTTATGATTGGAAGAGACAATGTTTCTAATGTTAAAAAAACAAACAAAAAAACTAAAGCTGGGGCTGTTTATTGTTAATTCATTAATTCATAAAAATTAATGAATAATTTTCTAGTCAGTGTAACAGCCATCTAGCTTTGAAAATATTTGTCATAAAAGGATCGGGGGCCTGCATTGTGGTATAGCGAGTTAAGCCACAGCTTGCAGTGCCAGCATCCCATATGGGTGTCGGTTCAAGTACCGGCTGCTCCACTTCCAATCCAGCTCCCTGCTAATGCACCTGGAAAACCAGTGGAAGATGGCCCAAGTCCTTGGGACCCTGCACCTATGTGGGGGATCCGGAAGAAGCTCCTGGCTCCTGGCTTTGGCCTGGCCCAGCCCTGACCATTGGGGCCATTTAGGGAGTGAACTATCAAGATCCTTCCCTTCCTCCCTCTTTCTCTCTCCCTCTCTCTCTGTGTAACTCTGGTTTTCAAATAAAGAAAGTCAACTTTTTTTTTTTTTTTTAAAAAGGTGGTTTGACTGAGTGGGAGAACATCTGGCCTGTATAAGGCCCACGAAATCATTTGGCATGGCCCTGTCATGGCAACTGCAGGGACTCGAAGTTCAATAAATTTATAGCAGGATAATTTTTAATTTAATAATTTTGTATGACCACAAATGATGTTATAAATATCCAAGTGGCCCTTGGCAGAAGAAAGGTTCGCCAGCCCAGGACTAAATTAAAGGCCTTATAAGCCTATAGTACATTCTACAAAATCCAGTGAGTTCACCACTTTAATCTATACTTCCTTATTCAATACTCTATAAATTAAACTTCTATGAAATCTGATATAACTAATGTTGAAACCAATGAGGCATAAAATAAGCATGAATTTTAAGCAACATTCAAGTGGAGATATAAATTCTAATCTCAATTTTGACACCTTTTGAATGACTAGACAGATAACACAGCTCCATACACTAAAGATTTCTTATCTTTAATGCAAAGCTAAAAACTGTCAAATGAGTAAACTCTGACAGGAATCACTGTTTTATGATCAGAAGAGAAAATGTTTCTAATGCTCAAAAACCAAACAAAACAACTAAAGCTGGGGCTGCTTATTGTTAAGTATTAGAGGTAAAGTACTATTAGATTTTTTAAAAAGCCTGCATCATATTAGATCTATGAAGTCCTGTTTGTTCCAACCAGCAACATTATATTCTCTTTTGTTTCATTTTTAATAATGTGATACGGGGCAGGTATTGTAGTACAGTGGACTAAGCTGTCGCTTGGGGTGCCTGCATCCCACAGAGGAGTGTTCAAGTCCTTGCTCCTCCACTTCTGATCCAGCTCCTGCTAATGCCCTTGGGAAGGCTGCAGAGGATAGCCCAACTACCTCGGTTCTCCTGATGGAGTTTCTGGCTCCTGGGTTTGGCCTGGTCCGGCTCTGGCTGTTGCACACATTTGGAGAGTAAATTAGCAAATAGAAGATATCTCTCTTTGTCTCATCCTTTCTCTCTCAAATATAAATAAATAAATTTTATTTTTTTAAAAAAGATTTTATTTATTTGACAGGTGAAGTTACAGACAGTGAGACAGAGGGAAAGGTCTTCCTTCCATTGGTTCACTCCCCAAATGGCTGCAATGGCTAGAGCTGCGCCAGTCTGAAGCCAGGAGCCAGGTGCTTCTTCCTGGTCTCCCATGTATGTGAAGGGGCCCAAGCACTTGGGTCATCCTCCACTGCTTTCCCAGACCATTGCAGAGAGCTGGACTAGAAGAGGAGCAGCCGGGACTCAAACCGGCACCCATATGGGATGCAGGCACTGCAGGCGAAAGATTAAAATAGTGCACTATGGCACCAGCCCCAAAATAAATAAATTTTAAATAAAATAAGGTGATAAAATTTTTATTATCTTGTGAAATCACAAAAGGTCAAGGAGGCCATTTGTATAACTCTGATTCTACTTATACACTTTGTCGAGGATTAGAAATGTATGAAAAACCCAACTGGTAATAGATGCTCAATAAAAGAAAATTCACAATGTGTGAGGGAGCACACATTTTATTTTATTATCTTTTTAAACCAACTAGTAACTAAGGTTATTATATTCTGATTATTCTTTATGTGATACATGTCCTTACATACCTAAACATTCCTTTATAGCAGAGTGCTTGATTGAGAATACTTAACTAAACAAGGTCTCTCTCTCTCTCTTTTTTTTTTTTTTTTTGACAGGCAGAGTGGACAGTGAGAGAGAGAGACAGAGAGAAAGGTCTTCCTTTTTGCCGTTGGTTCACCCTCCAATGGCCCCTGCAGCCGGCGTGTTGCGGCCGGCGCATTGCGCTGATCCTAAACCAGGAGCCAGGTGCTTCTCCTGGTCTCCCATGGGGTGCAGGGCCCAAGCACCTGGGCCATCCTCCACTGCCTTCCCGGGCCACAGCAGAGAGCTGGCCTGGAAGAGGGGCAACCAGGACAAAAATCTGGCGCCCTGACCGGGACTAGAACCCGGTGTGCCGGCGCCGCAAGGTGGAGGATTAGCCTAGTGAGCCACGGCGCCGGCCTACAAGGTCTCTCAAAATCTGCCATTTTTATAGATCAATCTTCACGCATTTAAGTACAAAAACTTTTAATACTGTTCTCTCAGATAAGTCGCTGTTTCTCCACAGGTGATCTGTTTTTCTAATCTGTGGTTGGATTCTATCCAAATCAGAATCACACAACAGGATTATAAGATGCAAAATTCTTGCATTGCCATCCCCAGACCTAACAAGTTTGAGAGATCTGAGGTCCTCAAATCTTTATTTTTTTTAAAGCAAGCACCAAGTGATGCTTATGTACACTAATACTTCAATTACATTTAATTAGGATTCTAAGCTCTTTCAGAACAAGAATTATACAACTTCTTCTGTAATTACCCAAAGCAGAAAATCACCATAGAGAATGCTCAGTAGCAACTAGTTTTAGAAATGCTAAAATGTCAGTCCTGGAGAGGACAAAGATCGCTATTCACGGCTGAATGATGACTCTGGGATGCAGAAGCCCAGAATGTGAAAACGTGAAAGGTGTTGCTTTGGCACAGCAAGAACATCCTATGGGTGAAGCACAAGGAACAAGAGTGCAACCTTGATAATAAGTACATACAGGCTGCAGTAGTAGTATCTGAATGAACATCACGGAGTTTCCCAAGATTCTGCACAACCAACGCCTGTAATTTTTCCAGTGCTTTAACACAGCAAAAACTGCATTTATTTAATCTGCAAGAATTAACATTAGGCTTAGCTTTTCAATCTCTAACAACTGTCAATAGCTACAACTAAGCTTTCTAAATATACACAGCGAGAATAACAGCACCATTGTGAACTAATGTTAAGTTTTAGGAAGTCCAAGAATAAGAAAGGTTCAAAAAATAGTAACATATACCAATTTGCTACCACTACTAAAAGCCAGAATAAGACACAGGAAGTATAATTTTTAGCCAAAGCATGTTCTTCACAGTTGTGAGCATCAACTAGACAGGAATGATTTTCACTCAGCCAAACAAGTAAACTAAAAGTCAACCTGACAGGCCATTTTTCTCGCAAGAGGAAACCACAACACCGCAATGATACCACCTATACCAAAACATAAATATAAAAACCACCAATGCTGGACATCCGGTGTAAGACAAGGGGCTGGATGTAATCCATGGGACTGTGTAGCCTGAAAGTATCAAGAGGAGACTGGGAAATGTTAACTACTGCTCTTCTCATCAACACAATGACAGCAACTATGTAAGTACCTTTTGCACGTTTTAATTTACATGTGTTCTAACACTTGTTGCTTCCCACTGCGGCAAAGTTTTTTAAGGCCAGTATAAGCTTACACATCAAATGTTAAGAATTAATTCACAGTAAAAGTATATATATCTTTCTAGGAAGCTGTTAATAAGATAGCCCACACTCTATCAAACATGAAGCTACAGTCACCTTAGTTTGGATCTGGTCAGAACTTTTTCAGACTGTAAATTCTGTGGTAACCTCTATCCTACCATATATAAAACAGGAAGCAATACATAAAAGAATGTTCATTACAATCACAGAAAAAGTGAAAAGGTTTGATTTTTAATAATACTGTTTTACTGACTTTCCTCACGTAAGAAAAATCATGTAATCTAACTTCCTTGAAGAGAAATGTCAAAGTAACCTAAAACAGAAGTACATTCTTGGATGACAGAGACACAAGTGGCCACGTTCCTATAAGAAGGCTTCATTAAAATTTTAGCCAGCTAAATCGAGTAATTGACAGGAAAAACATTTTCTGACAACATCATTTAGTGATTCCACAAAATGGAAGTATATGCAAACTCCAAATCAAATCTATGTATTAAATTACTTAACTACTTACCCACAGTATACCAACTAGCATCCGTCAACTTGCTGATAATAGCCTCCTGAACAGATCCGTCAGATGTCCTTGTTTCAACAATAGCTCCAACCTTAAACATGAAACACAAATTTCCTTAGCAAATTTAGACAAACAAATCACTCCCACCAACTTTATGATCTGGTTTGGAAAAATAATATTTATGATACTTCTACCCTTATAATGCTTGAGGCTTTTATTATTTACTTACAGTGCTCATACATTTGTTATATAATTTGAGCTGTAAAACACTTTACTGTAAGTAGAGTAGCTCTTATTACTGCTATTTTATACATTAAAAATTGTGACTCAGAAAGAGGAAGTAATTTTCAGAGTCAAAGATAGGAATCTTACCTCAAAGCTTTTTCACTAGAAAATTATACATAAGAATCATAAAGCCATTAAGACAACAAAAATAGTCTCAATTTTCTTTCATGGAAATAATGAATTTTGAAATTAATGTTTGTATTTTAAGGAACCTGTTAGATAGAGATTTAGCTGGAAAGAAAGGAATGTTCCAGTTTATCTTCTTTCAGCTTCCAGAACTTTGTATATGAGCTCCTAAACAAAGTAGTGCTCTGTTAGAGCAAGGATAGATTACATAAACAAATGGCCAGAAATGAACAGAAAATGTAAAACAAGTGCCAGTATTGGGTTAAGTTGCCACTTGTGACACCTGCACCCCATACTGGAGGGCCAGCTTGAGTTCTGGCTGCTCTGCTTCTGATCCAGCTCCCTGCTAAGGAACCTGGGAAAGTAGTGGAAGATGGTCCCAGTGCTGGGCCACCACCACCAATGCAGGAGACTCACAGTTAAGGGCTCCTGTATTTTTTTTTTTTAAAGATTATTTATTTGAAAGAGCTACACAGAAAGGCAGAGGGATCCTCCATCCTCTGGCTCACTCCCCACCTGGCTGCAACAGCCGGAGCTGCACCAACCCGAAGCCAGAAGCCAGGAGCCAGGAGCCTCCGCTGAGTCTCCCACGCAGATGCAGGGGCCCAAGGACCTGGGCCATCCTCCACTGCTTTCCCAGGCCATAGCAGAGAGCTGGATACGAAGTGGAGCAGCTGGGACTCAAACCGGAGCCCCATGGGATGCTGGCCTCACAGGCTGCGGCCCCACCCGCTCCACCGCAGCGCAGGTCCCTCCTGTCTTCAGCCTGGTCCAGCCCCAGTCAATAAGGTTATTTGGGGAGTGAGCCAGTGGATGGAATTTCTGTCATTTTGCATTTCAAATCAATAAATAAGTAAATCTTAAGACAAAACATAAAATAAGCATTCATTAAATTGAGTTATGAAATGAACAGTTTACTTGGTGTATCAGAACAGAAAAAATCAGATCTATGGCACTAGTATAAAATTTAGTAGGCATCATCTCATATATGGCAACAATGTACAAATCAGTGTAAGCTATTTAAAAGATGGCAGAAAACTTGTCTATATAAAATCACTTCTGTAAAATGTTTAACATTCTTAAGCTGAAGACATTCTTCATTTGCATTTTTGTTTTCTGATTAAATTTATAACATTTTACATGTCTGTACAACAATGTATGAATTATATGAATCCATGATTCATTATTCTATATTTTAAACTGTACAATATACGTACTCTTAAAGGACCCTTTACTTGATCATCTTGCACCAACTGTGTAGTATTATCCTGTTTCAGGAGCACCTGGAAAACACGTTTGCACAGTAATCTGTATATTACTTTAAAACAATACATTTGTAGTAACATTGTAACAATGTATTTGATCAAGGCCTTCTTAGCCCCCTGTGGTCACAAGTTATTACATTGTCTTCCATTTATGTTCATGGTTTCTCTCATTAACTAGGAGCTCTGGAGTCCTCCCTCACTGCCATAGACTCAACAGTTAGCAGGTGTGCCTGCATGTAACTTGTGTTACATGTAGTACATGTACTGCCTACATGAAGGGTAAACAAATTAAAGCCACAATTCCTCTGGAACAATTAATTATGATAAGAAATTCAGTTACAAATAAGTACTTCTTTCTAAATATACAAGGTAACCATCTTTAATGGAGCAATTAACCAAATAAGTAAATTCAAATTCTAGGTTTAAGGGGTCTTCAAAAAGTTTACGGAAAATGTGTATCACGCAGGTTGGTGTCCTGGCGCAGCACATTAAGCTACTGCCTATGATGCCAGCATCCCGTATCAGAATGCTCAGCCCTGGCTGCTTCGCTTCTGATCCAGCTCCCTGATGATGTGCCTGGGAATGCAGCAGAAGACGGCCCAAGAGTGTGGGCCCCCGACATCCACGTGGGAGACCAGATGGAGTTCCCGGCTCCCGGGTCTGGCCTGGTCCAGCCCTGGCTGCTGTGGCCACTGGGGGAGTGAACCAGCAGACAGACGATCTCTTTCTGTCTCCCCCTTTCTTCCCGCCACTGCGCCGCTCAAATAAAAATAAATATAAAACCTTTATAAAAAAGAAAATGCACATCATGAAAAATTTCTCAAATTTTTGCACCAAAATAAATTTTTTCATTTTAATTTTTTTTAATTTGAGAAACAGAGACAGACAAACAAGAATGCTCCCTCATCCGCTGGTTCACTCCCCAAAGGCCTGCAGCCCCAGGAATTCAATTCATGTCTCCCATGTGGGTTATAGGGACCCAACCAGCTGAGCTATTACCTGCTACCTCCCAGAGGCACATGAGCAGGACAGTACAAACGGAAGCAGAGCTGGGACACAGGCATGCAATGCAGGCATCTTAACCACCTGGCCTAAAGCCAGGTGTCCTAATTTTTTTATTTCCATTTTCTACAAGCTTTTTGAATTACCCTCATATGTCTAAGACGCCCCTGAAATGATCACAATACTAAAAATGGTGAAAATTATCAAAAAAAATCCAAATATTTAGTAAATCAAATTTTGTATAGCTGACACAATCACAAGGCTATAGGAAACAGAATCAGGGATTAATGTCAAATGACATTCCACTAACATTTGAAGAGAAGTTTCATCAGACCAAAATTTAAACAGGAATGGTAAATAAATTCATTTATCTACCACACAAATCACAGTCCTTTGGTTCAACGGTTCTCAAACATTCACATGGATCAGAAACATTTGGGGAACTTCGTTTAGACACAGTGACTGGACTCACCCCGAGTTTCTCATTCAGTACGTCTGGGGTGGAAGCCTGAGAATCTGCATTTTCAGAAAGTTTCTCAGGTGAAGCTCATGCTATCCGTCTAGAGGCCACATCTAGAGAACGATTGCTCTAGTTCATTCATTCCTTCAACAACTTTTGAGAACCTACTACACATCAAGAAGTGTTGGGGATAGAACACTTCAGACATTACCTCTTTTTGTGCTGCTTAATTCTGCTAGGAGACTATCAGATACACGTGAACAAATAAAGCAAATTGTAAACTACAAGCTTAGCATGACCCAAAAATAAGAACAGAGTAGTGCTATGATGAGCACAGTTCAAAGTCTAGAAAGCCACAACAAATTTTTCTGGAGTGGTATCAAGGTGGACTTTTAGGAACCGCACAGCTTTATAATGTCCCCACTGTGCATGTAATCATGATGTCTTCTGTGTCAAAGCAACGGAGATTATTTGAAAACATGTTCAATCGAGGGAAATCACGGGAAGGCAACACAGAAAATGTTAACCGAAGTACTTCTGAGAGGTAAGGCACGGATATTAATCCATCTACAATTTTTGTGCATTTCCAAATAATTTTTTCAAAGGAAAGCGTTTTTTCCTGTTAACGAAAGCATCTGAAAAATGAACTTCTTCAATCATTTTTCATGCTGTCTTAACAATATAATTCCTAATGTACTTTTTTCCCAATCACTCTAATTGTCTACCTGAACATTACCGAAGGGGAGAAAACAGTGTATAGCCTAAATAAGTTTACTACCACAAGCAGGAAAGAGCCAAATGCCAGGGAGCCCAGTGAGCATGGTATCTGATAGAAGCCTTCTGGAATAATTTCTCATTTTGAGTATTTTTCTCTGTCTATTCTCATTGTGCTTTTGCTGTGAGTTTACGTAACAGAGCTTTCCATAATGATGATTCAATAAATAAGACTGATTTGCATTCACCCCCTTCCCCAGTTTCTTCCATCCAGGCAATACAACTGTTGCATAAAATATTACCTTAACTTTCACCAGCCTTTTCACAGTTTTAATCTTTGCCTCACAGAAGGCACCGCGGTACTTGGCACTGACATCCGTTCCCACTGTCAGGTAGGCAGGCTCATCCGCCGCCTGGGGGAGGAACACAAACTGTGAAAGCCACCACTATTTCTCCCTGCCTCAACCTCAAGTGTCATTAAACGGTTCTGTATTTAACAAGAACAGTACAACTATGTGCTTACTAGTTATCACCGAAAATTTGAAAAATACCCCTAAAGCAAATACTTTGTTAACAACCCTTCATTTGATATACTGATGCCCTGATACCATAAAACATTTTAAAGCTGTAATTGAAAATTATCAGTAAGGAAATACAATGATTTTTTTTCTCCAGATACATAATGTTTCAAAAGTTGCTCGCTTCACATTAGAAATGGAAAAATGAGGAAAAAAACAGAAAAAGCCTATTTCCTGGAAATGTCTCATAAAACTCTGGAGTTATTTATTTATGGCCTCTTAATAATTATTTTCCAATTAAAAGCAATACTGTTGTCAAAATTAACACTAACAATACATAATTAAATGTTTATTGATAGTTACATAAAGGCAACATCTTTTTGGACACAGTGTAACTCACAGATAAGAAACGAAGCAAATCCTTCCCATAAGGAGTATCTCCGGAAAATTCATTGCTAAAAGCTGCAAGTATAAGGTTTACCTCTGAATTCAGCTGATGAGTGCAGATAAGAACTGATGGCTCAAGACTTGTGGCCAACCCTGGTTTACCACGCTGATCTTCTTGGCGTAAAAAAATAAGCTTTCCTGAGAAATGTCTCCTTGTAGCAAATGGCCACAATCACAGTGATGCACCGAAAGACGTGCGCCATTTCCTTCTGTGCTTCATTCTAATCCTGACAGCGACAGGACGACAACCCTCTCAATCTGCCACTTTACCTATTTTTTTTTCTAAAGAGTGCCCCTACAAGTTCAATTCCACGTGGCTAAGGGCAAAGGTAACAGTGTGCCCTTCAGAGAGAGATTTCCGAGCCGAAAACAATTCTTCATTTTCCCAGCGAGTTTTCCCAAGTAATATCCAAGCTGGATGCGTCACTTCGAGAAAACAGGAAGACAAGAAAAGCTCTGGGGACACACCGTATTTCAGGGCTGACTATACTGGAATCGGGTACCTATGAGAGTGAGTGCATGTAGAAATAATGCAAACTGAAGAGGAATACTTTAGGCCAACAAGTACCTAAAACCTACGAGGTCTCCCTTTGCTTTTAAACATCCCCAGTGTGATGTGTGTGTGTGTGTGTGTGTAGGGGGGCGTGCATACACACTGCACGGCGGCTCTAGGTTTTAAATATCTATCATAAACTCCAACTCTGCAGCCACCGAAGTTTGCTCTATCCCCAGAAGGAATATCTCCTCTCCTCCACGCACCTATCCTGTCCCTGAAAATCGGCCATGGGGGGAAGAAAACAATTTTCCAAAAGAAAAAAAAAAATCCCCTAAAAGCACCAAAGCAGGACAAAAGCTTCCCTTCTACAGAGGTGGCTGCCGGCGCAGGAAGTGTTTAAAAATACGAGCCGAGCGGACCACGATCGTGGGCTGCAGCGGCTTTGCAAAGTGCGAACCGCGGCGGCGGGGCTGAGCGGACGCACGTACCGCGGCTCGCCCATTCAACAAAGTGCGGCTCGGGGCCGGGAGCCGCGACCCGGCCCCCGGGGCGGCGCTGCGCGCCCACACCCCCACCCCAACACGTACCTTCATTTTCACGGGCGATCTGTGGGGGTCCAGCTCAGCGAGCTCTCCCGCCGCCGCTGCAGCCGAGGGGAGGAGAGAGAGACACACAGACGCGGAATCAGCGACCCGGCCGAGCAAAGTAAACACACGCAGCGCCCGCGCCGGCCCGGGGGCTCGGACCCTCGCAGGGCGCGCGGCCCGGGGCGCGGCGAGCAGCCCACGCGCGCCGAGAGGGCAGCGCGCTCCGCCCCGCAGCCCGGCGGCGGCGGCCCACCGCGCCCCCGCCCGCCGGCCACTTGGACCGGAACGCTCAACTCGGAGCCCAGGACGGAGCGCTCGGGGGAGACGGGCAGGGCGCCGCCCGCGCAGCCCCGGGACCCCCCCTCCGGCCCCGGCGGCCGCCCCCGGGACACCCCGAGTCCAGCCCGCGCGCCCCGCCTCCGCGGCTCGGCCCCCTCGGCCCGCCCCGGGCCCGCGGTGGCGGCAGCCGAGTGTCACGGCGCCATTGCTCTCTCCTCCCTGCGCTCTGCACCATGTCAGGAAGCAGAAGCGCTCCTCCGGCCCGCGGGGCAGGGGGCCGCGGCCTGCAGCCGGGGAGCTGCGCGCGCCCGGGGGGGACCCGCGCCGTGGGCAGCGGGCCCGGGGGGCGCCGCGAGGAGGAGGAGGAGGAGGAGGAGGAGGAGGAGGAGGAGGGGAGGCGGCCCGGACGGGGTGTGGGAGGGGAGGGGAGCCGCACCGCGGCGGCCGCCGCCTCCTCCCGCGCGCCCGCCTCAACTTTTTTGTACAGCCCGGAGCGGGACCAGCCCCCTCGCGCCCCCTCGGCTCCTGCCAGGCGCCGCCGCGGACTTGGGGGCCGGCTCTGCCCCGCTGCTCCCCGCGCGGAAGCAAACTTAGCGGCGCGGCCAACCCCACAGCCATTTTCCCGGGGCGCCGGGGGGAAGCGGCGGCGGCGGCGGCGGCGGGTCCGGCAGTGCAGCCCCCTGCCCCTGCGCTCGGCGCGCCGCCCGCCCCGTCTCCGAAGCCTCCAACTGCACCGGGACCCCGGGCAGCGGCACCAGCTGCTACTGCCGCTCCGTCCATTCAGCTGCCCCGCTGCCCTGCCCGCCACCTACCCGCTGCGGGTCGACTGCGCGCTGTCAGCTCTCTCGAGTCCCCCGCCCCTCCGACCCCCGTGGGCCCCCGTCCGGGCAGCACCACTCCCGGCCGCGGCGGCAGTCCCTGCGCCCGGTTCCCCACTCGCCCCGATTTACTGCCACAATCCACCAAATAACAAGCTGTTGAGCAGACTCGCTTCTACACGAACTCCTATTGGCTACCCGTGACGCCGAAGAGCTTGGGATTGGAGCCCGCTGCCTGCCGTTCTCATTGGATGCATCTCTGAAACTTCACGGATTGGTGCGAGAAACAGCAGGTAGGACATCTTCTACTTGTGATTGGCTGGCTCCGCAGACTGACGCGATTGGGGAGTCGGGGGATGGAGTAGGCGAGTCCTGAGATGCAATTGGCTGAGGCGACTCCGGATGTGCTTGACTGAGCACCGATTGGTGCACCGAGGGGTCAGGAAGAGCAGTTCGGCACGAGGATTGGCGGTGCAGTGTCCCATGGAAACGGAACCCAGAACTGCAGCCAGGCGCTCGCACGGGGGCGGGGCAGGGTCCCTCCAGAGCGCCTGCGCTAAACCCGCTTCTCGGCGCCATTTTGTCCTGGCAGCGGTGGCCGCGGCTCTACCGCATTTTGTGTTTGTGGACCGAAGGGCTAGGCGTCTTCCTCCGGTAGGTCGACTTCAGTGCGGCACGCGTCCACCTGCCCGTCCAGGGCAGCTCCGAGTGGAGGTCGGAGGACTCGCAGAGCAGTCTCGAAGGGCAGTGGGCAGCCGCGGGTGTCCGAGCGGCTGGGGGATGGCGCAGCTGCAGAGGCGCTAGCACCGGAAGTGGAGGGGCTGGAGGCGGCCATGGCCGAGTAAGTTCCCGGAGCGGCGGGGTGGGGAGCAGGGGCGGGCGGAGAGGGGGCGAGGCTTCCTCTCCCGCCGAGAGCGAGCGAGAAAGAGGCGGTGGGAAGTCGCACACGCCCGCCTCGGCGGGGAAGCTGCGGGTCCCCGAGGGCGGGGGGGGTGTCCTGCGGTCGCGCCGCTCCGGGCAGTCTGGCTCCCGACCTGAGGCGTTGCGGGGCCTGGCGCGGGCGGCCTCCCTCACGGAGGGCGTGGGCGGGGAGGGTGCCGAGCGAGCGAGGCCCCCGCCGCCGGCTGGAGCGGCCGCGGCCGTGGTTGTCGTCGAGGGCTGAGGCCCTCTCCCCTCGCCCGCCTGGGGCGGACGGGGGTCTCGTTCTGCTGCCCGCTTCCCGTCCGGCTGATGCTGACTTCTCACGCAGCCCCGAGTGGAATCGGGTTACTTCGTAGGATGAAACATGAACTTGGGAAATAGCGCTAATCCATCTTGGCTGAGTTTACTCCGCACGGGGACAGCAAAGCAGCGCGCGCGCGCGCGTGTGTGTGTGTGTGTGTGTGTGTGCACGCGGCTCGCGCCAGCGCTCCTAGCGAGGCTCGCTCACCTGCATGGGTGCTTGTCCTTATTCTCATGTATATATATATGTGTGTGTGTGTGTGTGTGTGGCTCGCGCCAGCGCTCCCAGCGAGGCTCGCTCACCTGCATGGGTGCTTGTCCTTGAGTCCTCGTGTGTGTGTGTGTGTGTGTGTGTGTGTGGCTCGCGCCAGCGCTCCCAGCGAGGCTCGCTCACCTGCATGGGTGCTTGTCCTCAGTCCTCGTGTTTGGAAACCTGTTGAGGGTGCTGGTGCTCAAGGCTGCCAAGTGAATGGCTGACTCTGTGGTTGGGTGGGTGTGGGGGCAGCTGTGCTGCAGGACGCAGGACATTTCATTGACACGTCTCCCGAGGTAGCACTGCGGTGAGAAGTCTCTAGAACCGGAAGGGCCCCTCAGAGAGGTTCTCCTGGGCATAACCTGTGCGTGACCGAGAAGGGAGGGAGCGTGGTTGAAGGGCGTTCGCTTTGGCCCAGGGTTCGAATGACCTCTGAGGTGACATTTTAGGGTGAAATCCCAAAATTAGATACTCACTCGCATGGTTTTCATTTCTGGATTTGAAAGCAATGATTTCTTCGTGAAACGCAGAATACTTTCAGGATCTTATCTCTTTAAAACTTTATGATACAGAAAAGGTTTTGTCAGAGTATTTAGGAATGAAGCAGCTTTTTTACAGAAAATAAGAAAACTCTCAGCTTCCACTACCTGTTTTTAAAGTGCTTTTATCTTATACAAATAGGTAATGCAGTGGGTATTTGGAAGTTATTTTTTAAAAAATACTCAGGAAAATAAAGGTATCTTGGATTTCCTCCACTGAAAGGTAATTACAGTTTACACTGTATTACATTTTATTTTCATACAGAAGGTTTTGCTTTTTTTTATGGCTTTTGTTCTGAACCATTCAAACAGTGCTAATTTTGTTTTACTGTTTTATTTGTAGGAAACTTTGGGAACATTGGAAACTTTGTCCATAAGGCATCCTTCATGGCTACATAATATTATATAGAATAGATGAATAGTAACTTGTAAGTGCAATAATATGTCAGTAAATATTCTTGTACATCTTTTAGCAAAATATTGTTCATAAGAACTCAAAACAGTGGCTAAAATGTCTAGATACATGGATTTCGCTGCACAACCCTGAATTTTTATTTTTTTATTTTTTTTAAGATTTATTTATTTGAGAGAAGAGTTACAAGCAGAGATAGGGAGAGACAGACAGGTCTTCCATCTGCTTGTTCACTCCGGGAATGGCCACAACAGCCAGAGCTGGGCCCATCTGAAGCCAGGAGCCAGGAACTTCTTGTAGATCTCCCATGTGAGTGCAGGGACCCAAGCAGTTGGGCCATCCTCTTTGGCTTTTCCGGGCCATTAGCAAAGAGCTTGATGGGAGAGGAGCAGCCAGGACTCAAACTGGCGCCCAGATGGGATGCCTGTGCCTCAGGTGGAGGCTTCACTTACTACCCCCACAGCACCAGCCCTCTGATTATTACTTAGAAATAAGTTCCTAGAAGTAGAAACAAAGACCAGAGGGATTTGTGTTAAGGCTTTGGATGCTTGTGCGATTGTCCCCCGGATTTTCTTTTTTAAGTTTTGAATTTTATCTCTTGGATTTGTAAAACTTTTTTCACTTAATGGTTGACGGTTCATAGAGTGCTACACAGAAATGACATTTAGGGCATACTAAGAACAAATTATGTTATGGTGTAGTGAGGTGATTTTAACTGCACTGTGTTTTCCTGCAGTCTTCCCTAGAAAGTTTCCCTTCCTGGTGTGCTTTCCTTTTTTTTTTTTTTTTTTTTGACAGGCAGAGTGGACAGTGAGAGAGACAGAGAGAAAGGTCTTCCTTTGCCGTTGGTTCACCCTCCAATGGCCGCTGCGGCCGGCGCACCGCGCTGATCCGATGGCAGGAGCCAGGTGCTTTTCCTGGTCTCCCATGGGTGCAGGGCCCAAGCACCTGGGCCATCCTCCACTGCACTCCCTGGCCACAGCAGAGAGCTGGCCTGGAAGAGGAGCAACCGGGAAAGAATCCGGCGCCCCGACCGGGACTAGAACCCGGTGTGCCGGCGCCACTAGGCGGAGGATTAGCCTAGTGAGCCGCCGCGCCAGCCTCCTGGTGTGCTTTCTCCTTCAGTGTTTTTGTGACCTCCTCCCCCGTCCATGCCTTCCATTAGGGTTTCTTTGCAATTGTGTGGCTCTTCCTCAGTTTGAGATTATGTTCCCAACAGACAGCTTGTATTTTTGTCAGTTAGTTCCTGCACCTGATTGATACATGATAGGTGCTTGTAAATATTTCCTATGAATGTTTATCTACATTTGTACACAAAATATGTGAAGAAAGCTAGTTAGTTTTTATAACCAGTGATTCTCTTCGGAAAATTGTGTTCCACAGATACTATCCTAACCTTTAAATTTTTTAATATTCTAGATTAATGTAATGCTGAATTGGTTTGTAACTGCCAATAAAATACAGATTGAGAGAATCCATTAATATTAAAGTACTAGTTTGTCATTGCCGGTCTTTTAAATTCTTCAGTCCTTTTTTAAGGATTTTATAATATCTTAAAGTGAAAATGAGTATGAATATGAACAGTTGCTGTACCATCTCAATTACAAAGAAATTGTCAAATTTGAAAGAATGATTTGGTAACGGTTTCACAGGAAAGTATAAAATAATTAGCTGCCTATTATGGTGTTTTTGACCAGAATCAAAATCAAGACATCTTTATGAGTCAGTTTGTATATTAATGTGGGTCTCATTTCTATGTTTTTTAAGGAGTGCCTAATATTTTTATTACAGAACACTAGGAGAATTATAATTTTTTTTAACCAATGAGAACTCTACAATGTAAGAAGAGATCTTACCAGTGAGTGTTCAAGAGCAAAATGTTACTGTTTTTGTTTCTCACTTTTTTTTTTTTTTAAAGATTTCTTTATTTGATAGGTGGAATTACAGACAGAGAGAGGGAGAGACAGAGAAGTCTTCCAGCTGCTGGTTAACTCGCCATATGGCTACAGTGGCTGGAGCTGGGTCCATCCAAAGTCAGGAGCCAAGCGTTTATTCTGGGTCTCCCTTCCAGGGGCAGGGCCCAAGCACATGGGCTGTCTTCCACTGCTTTCCCAGGTGCATTAGCAGGGTACTGGATCGGAAGTGGAGCAACTGGGACTCTGTCTGTATGGGATGCTGGCGCCACAGGCAGAGGCTCAACTTACTATGCCGCAGCACCAGGCCTTGTTTTTTTCTGTTTTTAAAGGACAGTCTTAAGTTGTAAATATCTGAAGTATAACATATACAAAATTAAAATAAATCTTTGTTTTTTAGATTAAGACTGATTTTGTGGAACAGTGAAGCAAGATGTTACAGTTGACTTGAGATGCTTTCTGTTGAAGATTCTGTTTCTGGTACGTAATTTTACTTAATTATCCTAAAGTAATCAAGATTGGCCATGTAATGTGTATATGTCTCTTGAAAAATGGTAGAATTTAACTGTGGTTATTTCTGTAAATGTCAGTATATGTTCAGAAATGGAACTGATTGCAATGTTAAATGGAGCTGCTTTTCTAAAGATTTAGCTATTTTTTTGGAAAGTTACGTAATTCACTTGTAACGATAGCAGACTGTGCTCTCTAGATGGTCTTTTGCTATGTTAGATTTCACCGCTATTTTTTAGGACCACATGGAAACAGATAATGGTTTTCTTTCACATATAATTTAGACTAGAATGACAGCATGTTTTAGGACTTCGATTCCAGTAGATCTAGGTTACCTAATGACTTTGTGGAACGATCTTTGTTCTGTCAGTAAAAAGGAGGACATGGTCAAACATGTGGAAAGTTAGTCTAAGTAGCTCTTTCAAAAGAATTGAGCAATTTAAATAGCTTCTTAAACATTTAAACAATGGCTTCTGATCCCATTTGTGAAGGGTTTAATTAATGAAAATTAATGAAAAAATGCAAACTGCGTGAATTTAAAAAAATTTTTGCCCCAAAATGGACTCATTTTTAAATTCCATTTTCCTGTAGATTTTGTGAAGCCACCTTGCACAATCAGCTGCGATTTCTAAGAGACAAATTGTCTTAGAAAACAAAGCAAAATGAAATATATTTAGTGATTATTGAAAATTTCTCAGTGATAGTGAGATATTAGAAGAAAGGATATTCTGGTTGAATGGAAGGTTGTGAGCAAAGATGTGATTATATAAGCGAAGTCATGTTAAACAGTGAGTGAACCAGTGTGGAAGGGATGCCTTGGCTAAGGATTATGTTAAGAAAATTGTGTACAGGGGCCAGCTTGTCAGTGTCTCCAGAGTTAGCTTCACATCGAGATCATTTGGAGTCCTTGCCCTCTAGTCAGGTTTCTAGAGAACTTTGAAAGGTGCAGTATGAGCAGAAATTGAAGATTATCTTTGTTTTTGTTTTGTTTTCAAGTTTTGTAAATCATAATGGAGCTAAACAAAAAAATGCCACTTTTAATCCCAATCTAACATATTTTGAAAATTTCCTTATATGCAAGTTCTTTCTTTAATTTTTGCTTTTGTTTGTGCCTTTAACATCCTAATGCTTATTAGAATTATTCAGTGTGATTGCATGGTCTCTGTAATAATTTTAATATCTGAAAATATTTCATCAGACTGCTTTGTCTTACTTCATTTTTGTTTTGCATGACAATTTAGGAATCTTTTTTTTTTTCTTTTAAGATTTTATTTATTTATTTGAAAGAGTTACAAGAAGCAGAGGCAGAGAGAGAGGTCTCCCATCTGCTGGTTCACTGCGCAGATGGCCGCAATGGCTGGAGCTGGGCTGATCAGAAGCTAGGAGCCAGGAGCTTCTTCCAGGTTTCCCACGCGGGCGCAGGGGCCCAAGCACTTGGGCCATTTTCTACTGCTTTCCCAGGCACAGCAGAGAGCTGGATTGGAAGTAGGGCAGCCAGGACTTGGACTGGTGTCTTTAGAGGAGGTGGGCACTGCAAACAGTAGCTTTACCTGCTACACCACAGCGCTGGCCCCCAATTTAGGGTTTTTATTTTTTATTTTCATTTTTTGACAGAGTGGACAGTGAGAGAGACAGAGAGAAAGGTCTTCCTTTTGCCGTTGGTTCATCCTCCAATGGCTGCCGCAGCCGGCGCGCTGCAGCCAGCGCACCGCGCTGATCCGATAGCAGGAGCCAGGTACTTATCCTGGTCTCCCATGGGGTGCAGGGCCCAAGGACTTGGGCCATCCTCCACTGCACTCCCTGGCGGCAGCAGAGAGCTGGCCTGGAAGAGGGGCAACCGGGACAGAATTTGGTGCCCCGACCAGGACTAGAACCCGGTGTGCCGGTGCTGCAAGGCGGAGGAGTAGCCTAGTGAGCCGCGGCGCCGGCCCAGTTTAGGGTTTTAATACTTAAATATTGAGCTGCAATTACTAGCTATGTGCATGGAGTATTTTATGACTCTTGACACATTGCCATGTTGTTGTTACTGCTTTTTTAATGCTTATTTTTCATGTACTTTAAAGAGCTAGTGAGAGAGAGAGAGTGATTGTTCTTCTGCTGATACTCCTTGCCAGATGTCATCAACAGCCAGGTCTGGGCCAGGCCACAGCCAAGAGCCCAGAACTCCTATGTCTCCCACATTGGTGACAGGGACTCAAGTACTGGAGCCATCATCTACTACCTTCCCAAGTGACAGCTTTGTAATACAATGCCTTCTTCCCTTAATTCCATTTTTTAAGCCTGTTTTTATTTAAACCTAACCCTTACAGGATAGCATGTGAGCTTATAACATTTGAGCTGCTTTGTTACATATGTCAAGACTGTCTCTTCATTTAGATAGATATGTAGAAATATTCCTATTACAGCGTTAATTTAGAATTAAAATTATATAATCTGTAAAATCAGGGGGAAAGTAAATGTATTAAAAATTCGCACAGGCCGGCGCCGCGGCTCACTAGGCTAATCCTCCGCCTAGTGGCGCCGGCACACCGGATTCTAGTCCCGGTCGGGGCGCCGGATTCTGTCCCGGTTGCCCCTCTTCCAGGCCAGCCCTCTGCTGTGGCCAGGGAGTGCAGTGGAGGATGGCCCAGGTGCTTGGGCCCTGCACCCCATGGGAGACCAGGAAAAGCACCTGGCTCCTGGCTCCTGCCATTGGATCAGCGCGGTGTGCCGGCCGCAGCGCGGCGGCCATTGGAGGGTGAACCAACGGCAAAGGAAGACCTTTCTCTCTGTCTCTCTCTCTCACTGTCCACTCTGCCTGTCAAAAAAAAAAAAAAAAAATTTGCACAGTAGTTTACAACATTGAGTTTTTAATGAATACATGTTTATAATTTTTTTGTTTGTTTTATTTATTTAATTCTTTGAAAGGCAGAGTTACAGAAAGGCAGAGGCATAGTTAGAAGCCTTCCATCCACTGGTTCACTCCCCAGTTGGCCACAACAGCTGGAGCTGGGCTGATCTGAAGCCAAGAGCTTCTGGGCTTCCCACATGGCTGCAGGGGCCCAAGGACTTGGTCCATCTTCTACTGTTTTCCCAGGCTGTAGCAGGGAGCTGGATCAGAAGTGGAGAGGCGAGGACTTGAAATGGTGCCCACTATGCCACAGCGACGGCTCCTATGTGTATGTTTTTATTGCTTCATTTTTATTAACCCCTTGCCTCTGAGACCTTTTCCAAATATTCTTAAATCTTTGTGGGATTTTAGGTTTTTCCTATGCTCCCACAGAATGATGGCTTTAAAATTTGTACAAAAATAGGAGGATCCTTCAAGTTTCAAAATGTGTAGGTGTGGCAAAGGTTTTTTTATAGAGAAAATTGTACATCCTGTCTGTCCTGTCTGTAAAATGGGAATGAACTCACCTGACAAGATTGGGATTACTATTACATGAGCTGGTACATGTAATGTGCTTAGAATGCTGCCAAGTATTTAGGAAGTGCTTAGGGATTAAGGTGGTGGTGTGTGTTGAATGCTATTACATGAACGATGCTTCAGGAGAGTTTAAATGAATACATTCTCATATACAGAAATAAAGCAGAGAGGCCCTCCTGGAGGTCATAGCAACCTTTAATCCAACCCTATTTCCTGCTTTTGAAGTATCATATGCTGTAGCCACTCTGAACTTGTCATGGCTCCCCAGGTTAAGCCCTGCATTTTTTGTAGTTGTATTTATTCATATGGTTTTTATCATCTGGAATGTTAACCGTATTTCCATATGTTGAAATGCTGCCTTTTAAATTAAGCTTTCTGGGGTCAGCGCTGTGGTGCAACAGGTTAAAGCCCCAGCCTGCAGTGCCGGCATCCCATATGGGTGCTAGTTCAAGTCCCAGCTGCTCCTCTCCGGATCCAGCTCTCTGATATGGCCTGGAAAAGCAGTAGAAGATGGCCCAAGTCCTTAGGCCCCTGTACCTCGTGTGAGAGAACCTGAAGAAGCTCTTGGCTCTTGGCTTCAGATCAGCTCAGCAATGGCCGTTGCAGTCATTTGGGGAGTGAACCAGCAGAATGAAAGACCTCTCTGCCTCTGTCTCTCTGTAACTTTCTTAAAAAATTAATTAAGCCTTCCAGGCCGGCGCCACGGCTCACTAGGCTAATCCTCCGCCTAGCGGCGCCGGCACACTGGGTTCTAGTCCCGGTCGGGGCGCCGGATTCTGTCCCGGTTGTCCCTCTTCCAAGCCAGCCCTCTGCTGTGGCCAGGGAGTGCAGTGGAGGATGGCCCAGGTGCTTGGGCCCTGCACCCCATGGGAGACCAGGAAAAGCACCTGGCTCCTGCCATCGGATCAGCGCGGTGCGCCGGCCGCAGCGCGCCGGCCGCGGCGGCCATTGGAGGGTAAACCAACGGCAAAGGAAGACCTTTCTCTCTGTCTCACTGTCCACTCTGCCTGTCAAAAAAAAAAAAAAAAATTAATTAAGCCTTCTGGATAGCATTACAGGTATAACTGTAAGTAATACCTCCATGTATATAAACTTAATTTATTTCCTTCTACATGATTTCTGTCACTCTATGTATTGCATTTTGGCTTTTTATTATATCCATGTGTGTTTGACTTTGTTATAAGACCTTTAGAGAAAAAATTCACCTTTGTAGTTTCAGAACCTATCACAGACCTTGGCATTTAGTAGGTACTCATTTGTACAGACTAAAAATTGTACTTATAAAGAACAAGTGCATGAACAGCGCCACGGCTCACCTGGCTAATCCTCAGCCTGCGGCGCCAGCTCCCCTGGTTCTAGTCCCTGTCGGGGGGCCGGATTCTGTCCCAGTTGCCCCTCTTCCAGTCCAGCTCTCTGCTGTGGCCGGGGCGGGGGGGCAGTGGAGGATGGCTCAGGTGGTTGGGCCCTGCACCCTCATGGGAGACCAGGAGGAAGCACCTGGCTCCTGGCTTCGGATCGGCGTAGCACACTGGCCATAGTGGCCATTTCAGGGGTGAACCAATGG